ATTTATTTCAAAATCAGAGTTACACAGAGAGAGGGGAGGCAGAGAGAGAGAGAGAGAGAGAGAGAGAGAGAGGTCTTCTATCTGATGGTTCACTCTCCAATTGGCCACAATGGCCAGAAGTGTGCTGATTCAAAGCCAGCAGCCAGGAGCTTCCTCCAGGTCTCCCATGTGGGTGCAGGGGACCAAGTATCCTCTACTGCTTTCCCAGGCCATAGCAGAGAGCTGGATTAAAAGTGGAGCAGCCAGGTCTTGAACAGGGGCCCATATGGGATGCCAGCACTTCAGGCCTAGGTGTTAACCTGCTGTGCCACACCGCCAGCCCCTGAATTTTACTTTTTTATTTAGAGAAATGGATTATGTCTTCTAGTTTCTAAGTAACTGCATCATAATGAGGACCATTGTAGATTGTAGCAGTTAAAAATATTTGGCTTGATGATCAACATAAGGCTTATAGATAGTAGCTACCCATGAGATTGTGTGCTGGATTTAGGGGAAGTTTATAAGTCAGTTGGAGGTAGCCTTTTATTACTGATGAACATGAATGTACTGAGAACTCCTTGTCCATTAAATAATAAAATCCAAATGAAGATTTACACACGAGTTCCCTCCTGCTTTCGTCTACCATTGAAATCCTATTGTTTCTGCCTTTTGGATCTCCCTGTAATCTGTTACCTCTTCTTCATTCCCACTACCAGCATACCTTGGTTCAGGTCCTACTAAATTACCTTTGATATACTTTTTAATTGACCTCTCTGCTTTTTGTTTTTCTTACCTTTGTGTAAAGCCTCTTATTTCATCCAAACATTTTTCTGATTGCTCAGGTTCTCTTACTCCAATAACTAGGAAAATCATGTGGCTGGTAGTTCTTTCAACACACCACACAAAAGAATGCTCAGTAAATGCTTACTAAATAATGAATGGAATGCCTTACAAAGCTAGGGTGAACATTTAAGCTGCTTGGCCCTGGATGGTTTCTGTTTATGCATTTCAACCCTGTGTCATTATTAATATGTCTCTTTTATTATCAAAGTTGTCTCTGAGCAACAAATTATACATTCATCTAATTGTGTGTGTTATCAAATAGATATCTATTTCATTATCTCTTCAACTAGGTAGTTATTGGGGAACAGAAATTGTATTTGTTTAATTTTTATAGCCTCATTTATTCATTCAACTAAAAGAATGACTCTATCAAGATGCTGAGTTTCAATGTCAAAGCAAACATGTTTCTTGCCCTCCTGAATTTTCAATCTGGCAAGAAAAAGCAGTCTACACAAAGAATATCACCTGACATAATAAACATTAGTGTGAAATGAATGGATACATTTAAGCATTCCTAATCCAGCAATTCTAATCCCATGAATTATAATTGACAGAAGTAATCACAAACAGAACTCCATGTCATCCTGCTTCCATTTACATTTCTACTTAAAATCTTAAAAATCAAACACCACAAATATACCTAAGATGCATAATATTTATATGCTATCTTGATATTAAGCATGAGAAAAATAGCCATACAGCAATAGCAATTTTGAACCTCCTTTCTTTTTTAGATAAGTTATAATCCTATGTGTTTCTCTACAGTGAAGATTAGGATTGTAGATACTCTTCCTCTCCCTCACTTTTTATTTTAGAGATGAGAAATCTGGGGTTTTAGAAACTGAGCTCCAAGATAAAAGAAATATTTCTTTTTTTAAAAGAAGATTTTTTTTATTTGAAAGGCAGAGTTACAGAGAGGCAGAGGGAGAGAGAGAGAGAGAGAGAGAGAGAGAGAGAGAAGTCTTCCATGCACTGGTTCACTCCCCAAATGGCTGCAATAGCCATAGTTAAGCTGATCCAAAGCCAGGAGCCAGGAAATTCTGGGTCTCTGATGTGGATGCAGGGTCCCAGGCATTCGGGCCATCTTCTGCTGCTTTCCCAGGCTACAGCAGAAAGTTGTATTGGAAGCGGAGCAGCAGGGACTTCAACTAGCCCCTGTATAGAATGTCGGTGCTGAAGGCGGAGGCTTAGCCCACTATGCCACAGTGCTGGTCCCGAAAGACTTCTTAAACCAATATTTCATGTTGGTTGGCCTTTAAGCTAGACTTTTTTTTTTTTTTTTTTTTTTTTTTTTTTTTTTTTTTTTTTTACCATACTTCCATGGGCAAATTCAATTCTAATCTCTTTCCACCTCAGCTTTCTCTTTGTAAATTGAGAATATGGTCTCCAGAATTAACCCAAGGTATAATTGATACAAAGTAAGGCATTTACTCTGTTAATCTGGACTCTAGAAGATACTTGGCAATGTTAGTCCTGTATCCAGTTCTCTTTTTTTCTTCCTTTTTTTTTTTTTTTGTACTTGGTGAATTAGAGGGTGGTGTAAAATGCTTTGAAAAGAACCACAAATAAAAGACACAAGTAAAAATTGTATTCTCAAATCTAGATGTTAAACTGTGCCGTGTACACCTGTGCTGAGAGTTACATTGAAATCCTTGTCATTCGTTACTTGAGAGAAGCTGTCCAGGAATAAAGCAGCAGGGGATTTTCCTGAGGGAAACAGCGTGTGTGAGGAAACCGGGATTTGGGACTCAGCAGCAGTGGCTGTCACTTCTTAAGATTTTGTTCAAGAAAGGAAGAACAGCATCTGACCCTTGAGATCTGGGGTGGGAAGGAAGGGAAGGAGGGATGTAAACAAAAGCAAACGCTCTCTGGTTCCCAGCCTGTCTCCACCCACCCCGCACTGAGCCCTGGGAGAGGGCCAGTAAGTTTATCTAGGAATGCCCTGGCCTGGACTCCATTTCCCAGAGTCACCCGGTGCTCTAACGTTTCCTGCTCTGAACGCCTGTGCGTGTGCATGTGGGAGAACGTGCGCATGCGTGCCTTTCCCTGTGGCTCGGGGCTGGGAACAGAAGTTCTTTTACTGATCAGAGAGGTCCCTGAGAGGCCGTGCTGCTCCTTCTCCCACATTCACTGGGGAGACTTGCTCTGCAAGTGCAATTGCAGGCGGTTCGGGAGCACACACCCCAGACCTGCCGCCCGCTGCTTCTGTGCCTCTGCATCTGCCACCGTGGGCCCCAAGTTCCAGCGACTTCTCCTGTCCCACACTCTCCGCTTTGCTCCCCGTGTGTCCTGAAGGAAGGGGACGTGCTCCCGAGATTTTCCACAGCAAGTATGGAGAACAGGAGGGGCACAGATGTGTGTGGGAGAGGGGAGGGTGCGATGGCGGGTGGCGGCTCCCAGACCTCGATCACTTGCTTCTCAGTGATGCTGGGAGCTTCTCTGGCAGAGTCAAGTCTGGGGCCCAGGTGTTGTGTCTCCCACCGCCGCTTCCCAGTCTCCCGATGCACGGCCGGTCCCACGGGCTGCCTCTCTCAAATTCTCCTTAAAGTACACTGGATGAGGAACAGCACCAGCAGGGCAGTTGAGAGCACACTGAAGGAAGGAGTCCCATTCCCTAGATTTAAATAAGCCCAGTTCTCACTTTGGGTGGATCAGAGAATGCCTTGTGGCTGGCCTCGGGCTATATCCCCTGGTAGTTCCAGCTGGGCGGGGCTCGGCGGCGCTCAGCCAGAGCCTGAGGCAGTGGAGAGGTGGAGATGGAAGATCAGAGTAGGCTCTGGCTCCTGGCCCCCATGCTGGACCCCGCGGACACATTTTCAGCTGGGGCGCTATGTGTTTGGCTGACTTTCCCAGCAGCACGTGAAGCTTGTGCAGTAGCTTTGTGGATTGATCGCTCCTCCGTGTTTAATTAACAGAATTTTTTTCAATCTGGAGCTTGAGGCCATGGAAATGTAACTGATTTATTTTCCTGCGTTTCGATTTCTGTCTTCAACCCTTCTTTCTTCTCATGTTATTAGGGATGTGAACTTTTATTACCTGCTGCTAATCCCTTTGCAAAGTGAGAAGTGAACTGAAATTAATGCAAGTCTACCGTGTGAGTTAATAATGAGCTACTTCAATCTGCATTTTCATAGTGGAGAGCTATGAAAACATAAATACAGAAAAGTATCAGTTTTTCTTGTCTAGTTCTTTACAGTCACTCAATGCTCCACCAAGCTGATTATCTTACAGTCCATATGGTTTTAATTAAGGGGGCCAGTTACTTTTTTTTTTTTTAATTTGACACGCAGAGTTAGAGAGGAAGGTCTTCCTTCTGGTGGTCACCCCCCAAATGGCCACTATGGCTGGCACGCTGTGCTGATCTGAAGCCAGGAGCCAGGTGCTTCCTCCTGGTCTCCCACATAGGTGCAGGGGCCCAAGCACTTGGGCCACAGTAGAGAACTGGACTGGAAGAGGAGCAAATGGGACAGAATCCGGTGTGCATATGGGATGCCGGCACTGCAGGCAGAGGATTAACCAAGTGAGCCACGGTGCCGGCCAGTTACTTTAAAAAAAAAATTATTTATTTATTTTAAAGGCAGAGTTACAGAGAGGCAAAGACACACACACAGAGAGAGAGAGAGAGAGAGAGAGCTCCCATCTGCTGGTTCACTCCCCAGATGGTCACAATGGCGAGAACTGCATGGATCTGAAGCCAGAGGCCAGAACCTTCTTCCAGGTCTCCCACACAGGTACAGGGGACCAAGCACTTGGGCCATCTTCCACTGCTTTCCCAGGCCATAGCAGAGAGCTGGATCAGAAGTGGAGCAGCCAGGTCTTGAACCAGCACCCATATGGTTTTACCCGCTCAGCCACAACACCAGCTTCAAGTTACTTTTCTTATTCTGGGTTCTGAGTTTAACCCCATGACATTTTCAACACGGGAGGATATTAGTGATAGATTTTCAAAATGACTGGTCTGTGGAAGCCTTTGTACAAGGTGTTAATGTGAAGAGGGTAAGGAAGCAAAGAGAAAATGTGCCCCTCTCCCCCACAGAGATGCCCACACAGTATGGTAAAAGATGTGGCTTTGGGCTGGCACTGTGGCTCAGTAGGTTAATCCTCTGCCTGTGGTGCCAGCATCCCATATAGGAACCAGTTCGAGTCCCAGCTGCTCCTCTGATCCAGCTCTCTGCTATGGCCTGGGAAGGCAGTAGAAGATGGCCCAAGTGCTTGGGCCTCTGCACCCATGTGGGAGACCCAGAAGAAGCTCCTGGCTCCTGGCTTTAGATCAGTGCAGCTCTTCTGGCCATTTTGACCAACTGGGGAGTGAACCAGCAGAAGGAAGACCTTTCTGTCTGTCTATCCATCTCACTATCTGTAATTCTACCTCTCAAATAAACATCTTTTAAAAAAAGAGAAATGTGGCCCTGAAAACTATTGCTATAGACTAACTTTCAGTGTAATGAAGTTTTCACTTGATTAACTGAATGATTCATAGACTCTGTTAGAGTCCTGTTGTCACCAGATTACTAATCTGTGAAACTCATTTAGCATAGTAAGGTTACCTAGGAGGTAAGAATAGAAAGGGAATCCTGGATAGAGGTTGCTAGGGTGACAACATTCTTCCTCTCAAACCCAGCGTGTTTTGACCTTTTCTCCCATGTACTCCCTATCACAGTGCTTGTGAGTGGGCAAGCAGTGATGTGTTTCTGCTGAGAAGAGCTGCTTCACACCCAGGAAACAACTGTAAGACACTTTCTCAGCAACTATGTTGTGTGTACATTAATACGAACTTGAAAACAGCCAAGAACAGGATTCCTGGACTACTCAGGCTAACTCACTGTCCTTGGCACATCATTCCCTGCTCTGCAATAAGTTTCTGGCAAGTTCTTTAAAATTTTTAGGAAAGACATGTTTCATACAAGAGACATAATCTGGTAATGCAGCAGTGATGTCTTTAAGAAAAGGTGCCATGTGAGGAAGCAGTCTGATGTGTCCATTCATCTTCCCATTAATAACTCTCATTGATGTCTACCACAGGGTGACAGAAGCAATCCTCCTTCTGAATTGCATGAAGCCAGGAGGATTTCTCTACAGTTTATCTGAGCTTTCCTTGTATGAGGGAATCACCAAAATACTACATTATATAGGGTTTTTTTTAATGCATTTTATTTACTTGAAAGGCAGATTTACAGAGAGATTGAAAGAGAGGTTCTCCATCCATTGGTTCACTCCTCAAATGGCCACAATGACTTGGGCTGGGCCAGGTGAACCCAGGAGCTAGGAGCTTCTTCTGGTTCTCACACTTGATTTCAGGGGCCCAAACACTTGGGCCATCATCCTCTGCTTTCCCAGTTGAATTAGTAGGGAGCTATATTGGAAATGGAGCAGCCAGGTCTTGAACCAGTGCCCATGTGGGGTGCTGGCACTGCCAGGGTCTGCTTAACTTACTATATCAGTCCCATGTGCATTTCTTCAATGGGGGAGGGGTTAATTTTTTTCTAATATAACTCTCAAAGATTATAATGTGTAGTAGATGATGATTTTGGTTATATTTTGAGTTTCATTAAATTTCTATATTTTTGAAGTTAATGAGTACTAGTAGTTATTTTTTTTTAAATATTTATTTATTTTACTTGAAAGTCAGAGTTATACACAGAGAGAAGGAGAGGCAGAGAGAGAGAAGTCTTCCATCTGCTGGTTCACTCCCCAATTGGCTACAGTGGTCAGAGCTGTGCCGATCCAAAGCCAGGAGCCAGGAGCTTCTTCTGTGTAGTAGTTATCTTATGCTATCCTTGCTTTGGATAAACAAACTCTCCCATCCCTCATTTAAAATGCTTTTTAAAATATGATTATTTTGAGGACTGGCACTGTGACATGGCAGGTGAGGCTGCCACCTACAGTGCTGCCATCTCATATGGGTGCTTGTTTGAGATCCAGCTTCCTGCCGTGGCCTGGGAAAGCAGTGAAAGATGGCCCAAGTTCTTGGGTTCTGCACCGCATGGGAGATCTGACAGAAGCTTCTGGCTCCTGGCTTCAGCTAGATCCAGCTCTGGCCATTGCAGCCATTTTCAGAGTGAATCAGTGCATGAAAGACCTCTCTCTGTGCCTCTGCCTCTCTGTAACTCTGCCTTTTAAATAAATAAATAAATATTTACATGCTACACCACTGTGCTGGCCCCAAGACCTAACAGGTTTTCTGGGTGCTTATCTTGGGGTTCACTTTGAGCACTAAGCACAGTTATTCTGTGTGACTGAATATTTCATGTTCCTTCTTATGGAAAAGTTTTTCTCATGATCTGAGTGATTGGCTACATCTGCCCGTAGTGAAAACTAAAACTTAATTTGGCATTTGAACACCCAGAGTGCTGAGTCCCGTAATCTCCTGAATTTAATCAAAAAATGTGTTTTGAAACATTTGGTCTGTGGGTAGGCAGGGCAGTTTTCCTGGATCCCTGTGAGAATTGATGAACTGATGGTGTGTTTCTACCCCACATTATATTCTGAAATTTACTTCCTTTTATTTTCCTAAAATTACTATATTTGTAATTTGCTCCCCCTTTCTGAAATGTTTGTGCTTCTGTCCTCCTTATAAGCATGGACATAAGTAGCCCTTTTCCTTCTCTCTCTCTCTCTCTCTCTCTCTTTTTTTTTTTTTAAACAGGCAGAGTGGACAGTGAGAAAGAGACAGAGAGAAAGGTCTTCCTTTGCCGTTGCTTCACCCTCCAGTGGCCACCATGGCCGGCACACCGAGCTGATCCAAAGGCAGGAGGCAGGTGCTTCTCCTGGTCTCCCATGGGGTGCAGGGCCCAAGCACTTGGGCCATCCTTCACTGCACTCCTGGGCCACAGCAGAGAGCTGGCCTGGAAGAGGGGCAACCGGGACAGAATCCGACACCCTGACCGGGACTAGAACCCAGTGTGCTGGTGCCGCAAGGCGGAGGATTAGCCTAGTGAGCCATGGCGCCGTTTCTTTTCCTTCTCTTTATGATGTTACAAGAGCAGTGGGATATTGCAGCTCTCTCCCCTGGCAGCACATCTTCCTCATTATGTCTCTTTGAATTAGACCCTGGGTTAACTTGGCTGCACAAAAGGCATATATCTAAACCCAGTGTACCTAATGAATGAAAGTCATCATAAAGTCAATATGCCTTGTAAACCTCTCATCTCTTGTTTTGGAATGTGTTGTGAATGTGTCTTTTATGTCAGTGTCTGTAAGCCAGAGACTTCCCACTTAAGGCAGAAGGCTGCTGAGGGACAGCACAACTGTAGCTTTGCTCTGTTGCTTTACTGTGGCTACTCTCTCACCCTCTCTATTTTATTAAGATTTAAAAATTTTATTTTAAAGCAGAGTTACAGAGAAAGAGGCAGAGACAGAAGGATGGGGATCTTGCATCTGCTGGTTCACTCAAGAGACTGCAATGAATAATGCTGGCCCAGCCTGGAAGTCCAACCCAGTGTCCCACATTGGTGCAAGGACCCAAGTACTTGTGCCATCTGTTTCTGCTTCCCTAGTTGCATTACAGGGAGCTGGATCAGAAGTGGAACAACTGTGACTCAAACTGGCACTCATGGGACTGGCATTGTGGCACAGTGGGGAAAGCTACCATCTGCAATGCCAGCTTCCCAGATGAACAGCTGTTCATGTCCCAGTTGCTCCACTTCTAACCTAGCTCCATGCTGATGGTCTGAGAAAAGCAGCAGCAGATGACTCAAGTGTTGGGGCCATTGTAACCCATGTGGGAGACCCAGATGAAGTGCCTGGCTCCTGGTTTCTGTGTGCTTCAGCCCTGGCCATGGCAGCCATCTCAGATGGAAGATCTCTCTCTTTTTTAGCATTTATTTATTTATTTACAAGGCAGAGATAGAGAAAGGGAGAGAATGAGAAAGAGATTTTCCATCTGCTGGTCTACTTCCTAGATGGCTGCAATGGCCAAGACTGGGCCAGGCCCAAGCCAGGCACCAAGAGCTTCATCCAGGTCTCCCACTTGGGTGTCAAGGACCCAGGTATTGGGCCATCTTCTACTTTTCCAGGGCCACTAGCAGAGAACTGGATCAGAAGTGGAGCAGCCAGGACATGAACTGGTGCCTATACCAGATGCCAGCACTGCAGGCAGCAGCTTTACCTGCTAGTCCACAATGCCATCCCATCTGACTCTCCCTCCTCTCCATAACTCTGACATTTTTTTAAGATTTATTTTATTTATTTGACAGAGTTACTGATAGAGATAGAGACAGATAGAGAGGTCTTTAGTCTGCTGGTTCACTCCCCAAATGGCCACAGTGACCAGATCTGAGCTGATCTGAAACCAGGAGCCAGTAGCTTCTTCTGGATTTCCCACATGGATATAGGGGACCAAGGACTTGGGCCATACTGTGCCACTTTCCCAAGCACATTAGCAGGCAGCTGGATTGGAAGTGGAGCAGCCAAGACCTGAACCAGGGACCATAAGGGATGCAGGCCAGTGTCTCAACCAGCTGTGCCACAGCACTGGCCCCCAAAACTCTGACTTTCAAATAAATAAATCTTTTTTAAAGGATGGACACACATATTGGATCCCAGCATTTTATTTGGTGGTGGCTTAATCCACTGTGCCACAAAGCCAGACCCACCCTTTATCCTGGTGACTTGTGTGTCAAGATCTGGGTAATATCTGCTGAACAAATGTTGGTATTATGGTAGACTCTTCTGTTTTATTTTGGTTCTCATTTGTTGAGTTTATTTTGACTGTCACTTTTGGGGAGCAAGCTGTGATGTCATCAGTGGCTAAAGCTGCTGTGTGTTAGGCTGGCACTGATTCTACCTTTCCATTTCTTCAAGCAGAAGTGGAACATGAAATCCTCTCAAAACTAACATGCTACAAAGTAACAACTGGAAATCAAGCTTCCTTTCTTCTCACCTAACAGACCCAGCTGGTCTCTGTGTTTCTCATTTTAGCCCAAACCTACATTAGTTTCCAGAGCAGAAGGAAGCTTATTTTTTAATGCAGAATTCATAGATGTGGTTGTCCATTCACCTCTGAGAATTAAAGCCATCACTCTGCTTTTTGACTGGTTTTCAATTTGTGGTGGTGCCCTCTCTCACAGGAGGACAGAGTCCTCACAGAAGAATACACCTAGGAGGAGAAAACTTCAAGGAGTGGGTTTTCCAAAGTGAAATGGAATTCTGGCCTGGACATCCTCGAGATCATGATCAGCAGAGTGGGGAAATTCTTTGCTATGTCCACTCACATCCTTTCCTTTTTGTTCATTGTATTCCTCCCTTACATAGTGCTCTGTGCTCTCCTTCTGTTGCACACACACAAGTCATGTCTGTGATTGAGGCTGTTTGTGGACCACTGCAGCATCTGGAGTTGCCTTTGTCTCCATCTCTAGCCAGAAACTCAGATGCAGAGTGAGGAGGGGACTGCCAGCCGGCCACACAGGGTTTGGGTCCCTTGCTCCTTTACTTTTCTTCAGTGCAAGAGCAGCCTTAAAGAGAGCTGTACTGGGTAGTATTATTTCTTTTGGATTTGAGTGCTTGGACAGCAAAAGAAATACATGTTTTTTTTTTTCTTATAGAATGGATTGAGGAGGCACTACATAAAGTCAGCAGCAACTTTCTTGGCTCTTGTTACATGTCAAGATGAGTCAGAATATTTAGGGCCATTTGTTAAATTTTTTAAAAAATTAAAAATATTCATTTATTTGAAAGGCAGAGTTACAAAGAGAGAAAGAGAGATGTAAATCATTTATCCACTGTTTCAC